TGTGTGTGTGTGTGTGTGTGTGTGTGTGTGTGTGTGTGTGTGTGTGTGTATGTTAAATAGAGAGATCGCTGTAGCTCAGTGTCTGCGGGAAGTGTGCGTTTGAGTGCAGGGGAGCCGGAACCGTCTGGTCGGGAGGCTCTGGAGGAGGTGCAGGCCATCTCAGGGAACGGGCAGTGCTGTGACTGCGGGGAGCCTGGACCCGACTGGGCCTCTATCAATCTGGGCATCACGCTGTGCATTACCTGCTCTGGCATACACAGGTAACACACATACACACACATAATTATATAATGTATCACATGAACATGCATCTGAATCGGTTTTTGTGTTGGCAGGAGTTTAGGTGTCCACTTCTCGAAGGTACGATCCCTGACGCTGGACTCATGGGAGCCAGAGCTCATCAAAGTAAGCATAGACATCATTCTCATATATTCATGTATTAGATGCATTTAAAAAAAAAAAAAGCATTTTGACTAGTTACACTTTTTTCCACATTCTCTCATTTTGTCCATATTGCTCTTTCTAGCTCATGTGTGAGTTAGGAAACACAGCCATTAACAAGATCTATGAGGCGCGTATTGATGAGATCACAATCAAGAAACCCCATCCCTCTAGTCCAAGGTACAGTAGGTGTTTATATATAGTAATCACAGAAAACCACAGAAATGTGTTTATAATTACAGTGGTGGCCAAAATGATTAGAACACTAGTATTTTCACCAGCTAAAAAATGGTTTTAAGTCAGTTATTTCTGTCTTTTGCTGTAAGACAGGTCTCTTGAAGCATCTTGGAGACGTTGCCACAGTTCTTCTTACGTGCAAGTGCACCGAGGACTATAGCTGTTTTAAACAGAGAGGATGGTCACACCAAATACTGATTTGATTTAGTTAACTGAAGTTAATTGATAAATAAAATCTATTTATGACATTATTTTTGACAACATCCTCAGACTCCTTAACATACAAAAATCTCACTGGATTATTACAATTAATGGCAAAATGAATGTTTGGAAATGTCAACTGATATTTCCTACTGACACACTATAGCACAAGATAGAAATAACTGACTTAAAACCATTTTTAGCTGGTGAAAATACTAGTGTTCTAATAATTTTGGCCACCACTGTAAATATAATCTGTATATAACTGTTTTCTCAGACAAGATAAGGAGTCGTGGATTCGTTCTAAATATGTAGAGAAGAAATTCATCCACAAGCTCCCGGAGACTGGTCGAGGAACGGTCCTGCTGCGCTCCAGTGCCCAACGGAACAGAGCAGCCACACAGGACAAACCCAACACACGCCCTGCCCTCAAACCCAAACCCAACCGAGCCACTCTGCCACGACTCACAGGCACACAGACA